CAGATGTGCACTCCGCAGAATTGGAGAAGTAAGTGGACCATTGTCTATCGGACCAATTGGACCATTGACTATTGGTGACCAGAAAGTAGACCATTGTAACTGATTTTAAACCAGCTTTGCGGTGTCTTCGAACTGCTCTATGTTGTGAGCCTCAAGACTAATTCAGGGGTGGAAGTGGTTTTGAGTGCTTTGGAGCAGCTCAGGGAACAGGAATAATGCTGTTTTGTGACAGCTTTGGCGCAGTAAAGGGAAAATTTCTGAGCAAGTTCGGAGCACCAAAACATGTGTTTTGGAACAACGTGAGTTATTTTGTGAGCAGCTTTCTAGGGTCAGACATCATCGTCAATCAAAAGTTATTTCTAGTAAAAAAAATTACAATGGTTCGTACTAAACAATCGGTACTAGCGAGCTTACCAGACTTACCACGCACAAATATGTGTGGGTGGGTGTCTGTGTTACAAAACATGCTCATTTAATACTTGGATTGAAAGAAAAAATATATTCTGGGTGATAAAAACGGGAAACTATTTCCTTAAGTGAATGCACCTACTGCAAAAAGTCTCACTAGCCACAGCAGCATTGCAGCTGATGTTGCACCTAATGTGTGAAACGGAGTACAGACGATTTCAAGGTCACAGACATTATACCCAAAAAAACTTCCAGTCACCTCATTTACCAGCTCCTAACGTCGAAACTGAAAGCACGTTTTCAATTTCCTTTCAAGCGTAAGGAATGTCTCTCATATTTCACATAAAAGAAATGTGCGTAAAGTACAAGGGAATGTTTTACAGTTTTTATGTAGCTCAAAAGAACATTCATTTGAATATACATTGCCAGATAAGGGGAGGAAACCGTAGAAAATCAGCGGGCTATTTTTTAAAGATCTTGTGATCCACAAATGCTATAAAAGCACATCGGTGGAAAAAACCGGAAGTCATCAAGGGGCTGTGCTTGTAAACCTTTAAAGGGTCTATAGGTAATCGTGGCGAACTTTGCTAGACGGAAGTTTGTTATCCCCACGCTAGTTATAAACACACTACTCTGCTCATCTGTACTCGGTCTGGAGCGAAGTGGGGCGAGCAAATCACTCAGCAAATCTGTGCGCACAGTAGTGCAACCTGCCTGACATCGACGGCGTAGGCAGCCTAGGCACCATTCTGCACGCAACTAACCAGTAGATTTTCAGAATCGACACGACTGCTTCGCAATTCAATGAAAGTGTCAGTTGTCGCTTAGTATCGCAGTAGAGAAGCGCACATATGTATCGCGAAAAGCCGATAGTGTCCGTTTTATCAATTTCAGTCGCTGCGTATCCTGAACGAGCCGGAAGGCTCCTTGGCGTCAGCACTGCGTGCTATAAAACGATCGTTCTGAGAGTGCCAGCCCAGTATATTTTTCGCACTTTGGAAGAACGAAGAAAAGACTTTCTGGCGGGTACTTTTGGCAACATCTGCTGTGGTACTGTACCTGTTTCAGGAGATATACATTTGTACTTGTAATCGTGCACTGCCGTTTAGCCGTATTCCCAGCTGGTAAAAATTAGCGAGGTTTCACTGTGCTACCAGATAATTCACAGTTACTCATGCTAGTGCCACAACAATGGCGGTGAAACCATGGCGATAACTGCGATGAGACGAGCACTAGCGAACCGAAATACAACCAGAGAACACACAGAGAACACCTATACCACTTTGATACAACGCGATCAAACTACACTGGATATGAATGCGGCTGCGTCCTGTCCTGTGTGTAGCCAACGCTCAGTGTGGCTCGGTTCCAAGAGACAATTATCGCCGAAACTGCCGTTTATGCACAGCACGTTAGATTGGCGCAGAATGGCACAATTGGCACAGCACTTCTACCCCTGATAATGATTGCTAAAAATATGACAACTGTACAATCAATTATTAGACAAAAGGCATGACATAACCTTTCAGTGGTTACAAACAACGCTGCTGTGGTATCACTGGTAATGAGCATGCTGACGATGAACTAAGAATGCTCATGAAAATGGCGAGTTCGAACCTATTCTACTATTAATAAGCAGCGGAACACTTGCGCATAATATCTCAAGGTCTATATGGAGCACGTCGGGTTTTCTCCATAGCCGTCTTCACAGCCTGGATTTGTGTCAACAACTTCATATTCTATCTGGCCTACCTCGCTCTGAGACGACTGTTCTCTGGCGCTTGTGGCTCGGTGTGTCTTTTACGAACTCCATTGCTTGTCGTATCGCACGGGCAGACAGTGCTGCATGTGAACATTGCGGCACTGATGAAACCATTGAACATGTTTCAAGTCTGTGCCCTCAGTACAGCTTTCACAGGTGGTCCCCCACAGCAGTATTTGTGTAACTCGACGCCCAACCGCTTTCCGAAGAATCAATCTTAGAATGCTGGAAAGATCGAACTTCACGCCTGAAAGCAACGAAGGCGTTGCTTAAGTTCGTCCGAGCGACCCACCTCGTTGAACGTTTGTGATATTCCAGTGCGTGCGTTTCTGGTTCCTTCACCCTCTATGATTTCCTCTTTCTTACTTTTCTGTCTCCCTTTACCCCGTCCCCAGTGCAGGGGGGTCAACCAGATATTAGTTTTCCGGTAAACCTCCCAGCGTTCCCACATCACATCTCTCTCTCCAAAGGTGCTGCCAACACCGCCTTTGTGGCTAATTTTACAGTGAAGCCAAAGCAAGCTGCGTAAAAACTCAACATGGCCGAATTTTTAATTGGTCGCCCGGCTGGCTCCATGGTGTACCACACAGGAATGGTCCCGAAGTTGTGACGAAAAAGCTAGGTTTCCAATACATTGGGTCCCTAAGGAGTAATCTAGCAATAGAAGATCTGACAGGAAAGTAGTAAAAAAATAGGGCAGCTTCGTACTAGTCCTGCCAAGTCTGAAAAACATGTAGAACTGGGCGGCCTTCCTCCTTTTCCTTCTCTTTCTTCCTTTGCTCTTATCTCTTTATTCTTCCTCTCTTCTTCATTTCTGTTTCTTCGTTTTTGTTTATCTCTTGGTCACTTTTTATTCCTCTTCTCTCCCCCCACCATTTTCTTTTTTCTGTACATCTTTTGTTCTTTCTCTCTCAGTACTTGTTCTCTTGTCAATCGGAGTTATTGCATCCCACACCGGACAAATCGGCACATGTGCTCCAGGAACGAAGAAGATGAAGAGCATGAAGAAAGCGCGTGCAGGTTGATTATGATCACTTTTGCTCGCTCACTGGGTTTTCCCGAGCCGACTGCTTTAGCATTTAATGCATATAAGAAAAAAAGAACTCTGGGAAAATAGGAAAAGGCGATCACAGATTTCCCTTAAGTGGATCTGCCTAAGGGTGTCGTCTGCATGATGAAAAAGCTAATGGGGTGTGTTTCCTCAAGAGTTCGAACACCCTATAAACCCCCTTTTCCCTGACACAGCTAATCCATGCACACTAAGCACGAGAAAGGGGTTGAAACCCCATTAGCTAAGGCCAGTAGTGGCTTTAATAGCACAGAGAATAATGTGACGAGGCATGATCTGCCTCACGACTCCGTTTGCAAGTTCATAGCACTTGATGTTCATGCGAAACAAGCCATTCCATTATGGCCACAAACCCTTTCTTGAATGCCCATGTTATGCCGCTGTAGTCAGGTACGTTGAGTACTTGTCGATCATCACTTTCAGACAGATGCAATCTTTCTTCGACATCGAAAAATCATTTGATAAATTACTTCATAAACAGCTGTAACTAAAACTAGCCCACCTGAATCTACACTCCAACATTCTCACATGAATCGCACGATTTCTTACCAACTACTCCAGTTGGTTTCAATTAAAAATGACCGTTCTAAATCTCTCCCAGTACCATTCGACGTACCCCCCCCCCCCCCCCTGTTTCAATATATATATTAAGCTTCCCATCCATGTGTCTTCCCCTATCCATTTATTCGCCGGCGACTGCATCATCTATAGTGCAGTCGCTAACATTTCTGATCAAACTGCCTTCCAGCAGGGCCTAAATCTTGTGCAAGAGTGGTGTGATCGTTGGCTAAAAAAACTTAATCCCACTAAATGCAAACTCGTTTAATTTCATCGACAGCATCATCCTTTATCACCTTCATTCTTAATGTCTGATTCGATTGAGGAACATGTTGAATCATATAAATACCTAGGCATCACCTTATCATCTGACCTTTCCTGGAACACAGACATCAACAACGTCATATCTGCAAACAGATTCCTCCGTTACCTAAAACATCCTTTGCGTCGCGAACCACTAGACATGAAACTTTTCACCTACAAATCCCTCATCCGATCCAAACTAGGACATGCAGCGCCCATCTGGAGCCCACACCAGGCATACTTAATTAAAAAGCTAGAATCTGTACAAAATTGTGCCATAATGTTCATTCATTGTTCATACTCATATAAGTATATCATCTCTAAAACGAGAAACGAAATTGATGTTACTAATCTTTGCATGCATCGCCAGTCTGTTAACATTCTTTCACAGTTTGCTCAATCAAACACCTTACATCATCCCACCATTGCGCATATCTCACCGCACGACCCGCCCTTTTATCAATCGCATGCACACGTGCCCGCACTACTCCCTTTGTCACATCATTTTTTTTCACACAGCAATGGACTGGAATGGCCTCCCCCATGACATTACTACCATCATGTGTCCACCATCTTTTGCTGACAACATAACTGCATTATGTTCATCAAGAAGATCGCTCTGCACAACCCACATTTGACATTTGTTAACACACCCCTTATCTAATACTCTAATACCCCCTAACTGGGGTCTTTAAGGTGAAGTTGGTAATCTAAAATGCAGTGGTTAGCTGACTGTTAAATTTTCATGACATGAAATTTTGGTGATTGAGACATTGTAGGACACTTTCTCTAGAATTCGGAGAGATGGTCTAGCATGCACAAATCGTACAGCTTTTGCCCGCATAGTCTAAGCTTCTGGTCTACCTGTTGGTCCACAACGAAGAGGCCCGCCCAACTCACCCTGGCCGGCTCAGCTTTAGCCTTCTTAGCGGGGGGAACAGCTTCCCCATTGGTCTCTTCCTCCTCCTTCGAATCTGTGGCAGGCTTCTCAACTTCGGCCTTCTAAAAATTCAAGACAGAAACAGCGCTTTGTCATTAGCTGCAGCAGAAGGCCACCCTCTTTTGCCAAAACTACAATCATTTCACTTATAAGGCAAACTAGAATGAGCACGGCTGCAAGCCTCTCAACGACAAAATTCAGCAAAAAAAAAAGATAAATCGCTAGGATAATTCAATAAAGAGGAAATGTACAGCATGTATTATCAATTACCCCAGCTTGTTCAGCTTTCGCGAGATCATTTTACCGACTCTGATATTCCTTTCAGACAGCGTAAAAGGATAAAAAAAATTAAGCTTTACAAGACAAAATTACAACGCTATCATGTGGCAGGCTGTAATACGGGGCTATGAAGTAATTTGCTCCCCCCCCCCCTGAGTTCTTTAATTGTGTACCTAAATATTTGCACACGTATGTTTGTATACTGCAGCCATCCATATGCTATCGGTGACCAATATTTGAACTTGTGTGTGTTCTCTAGATTAGTGAATGACACCTTAGTAACCTGCCATGAAGGGCAGCAGTGAAATTTTGGAAGTGTGATTAGCAAAGCACCGTTGAGACAAAGCACATATTTGAACTATCGCAGGTAGAAATACATAAAGATAAAAAATGTTAGGTCTATAAAGAAGAAAACTCATCGTTGGCAAGCAACATCGCCACCGCTTGGGTACTGGGCTTTTCTCGCTCGGCTCGTGCTGATCATCGCCGGCATCTGCTTGAGCGTTGCTCCGCCCCGATCGTGTTTTCATCGTAGGGCCACCGTCGCAACAGTCGCCAATAAACCCCTTTTCAATTGGTGGAGGGTGCTGACATTCCCCGTTGCCTGAACCTGGGTGCTGCCATTCGCCGTCGCCTAAACCTGGAGCTGCGCAACCGAACGCTACCTCCCATCATGGCCACTAACAACGCGCAACCTGTCTCTTTCACTCCATCCCCCAGCAACCCCGGCGTTCTTCGTTTGCGAGAGCCCAAGGTCTTTAGCGGAGCTGACGAGACCGACGTGGAAGACTGGTTCGCTAACTACGAACTGGTGATGCGAACAAGTTGACTAATGTCATCTTTCACCTCACTGACGTGGCTGAAGTGTGGTATAACAACCACAAAAACGACATTACGACGTGGTCTATCTTCAAAACGTCGTTTGCTGACATTTTCGACCGACCCACTGTCCGCAAGTCCAGCGCCGAACAACGCTTGCGGACTCGCACACAGAAGCCAACGGAATCTTTCACCAGCTACGTCGTAGACATTATTGGTCTTTGCAACCGTGTGTACACCGCCATACCCGAGTCGGAGAAGATTCAACACATCCTCAAAGGGATAAATGACGGCACATTTCAGATGCTCCTGGCACGCAATCCTGCCACCGTTGTGGAACTTGTGACTTTATGTCAAAGTTTCGATGAGTTGAGGAAGCAGCATGCCCTACTCGGCCATTTTCCTCACATGCCGACTCACTATCCAGTCTTACTTCTGTTCCTGATTACACACCAAACCTGCAAGAGATTAAAGACTGTGCATGAAGAAGTAGCTCAGCAGCTGTCGATTCCCTTCACGCAGCAGCCGCCATCCTCTCGTTTGCCCTCACCAATCCGCGACGTTGTTGCCGAAGAGGTAGCTCAGGCTGTTCCCGTCGCTGCTGTGGCCATGCCTGTTCCCCATGCGCCGGCTATGCAACCCATGGCCTCGCCTCTCACTTATGCCCAGGTGGTGCGCAGCAGACCCCGCCAGCAGCATTTGCCCCCCATGTCTGCACTTGCTCCCCACTCTACCCCTCTTTCGACACCTTGGGCTGCACCGCGAGTCAGCAATTCCTGGCGCACTGCTGACAAGCGACCGATCCCCTACGCCTGCGGTACTCCAGGACACGTGGCACAATATTGTCGTCGACACTTTCAATCGCAACACAACGCTACTTGGCCGTTACTATATGACCCGCAGCCCACGCACCTACCTGCTCCCTATGCCTCACCGCAGTATGGCTACACTAACCTTCCCAAGTCTCAGTCACCCCAGCCCTCTCTCTGACTCACTCTCCCCGCTCGCCGTCTCCTCGCAGGCGATCTCTGTCCCCAATGCGTCCCCGACCCGCTTTCTCCAACCGGGAAAACTGAACGCCGCAGTTCCAGAAGCAAGAACTGTGCCGTCGTCGAAATGCCCAAGCCCTCGCACTTCACCTGCTAACGTCGTCGCCATATCTGTCGATGGTGTTTCTACCTTTGCCCTCATCGACACAGGTGCTGCCGTTTCTGTTATAGCCGCCCAGCTCTGCCGCTCCCTACGCAAAGTGACCACGCCGCTCTCTGGACTACCGCTTCGTACGGCTAGCGCACAACCAGTTCGACCTCTCGGCATCTCTGCCGCTCCCTACGCAAAGTGACCACGCCGCTCTCTGGACTACCGCTTCGTACGGCTAGCGCACAACCAGTTCGACCTCTCGGCATCTGTACAGCCCGCATATTCATCCAAGGCTCTATGTACGTTGTCGAGTTCATCGTCGTTTCGGTGTGCTCGCATGACGTTATCCTCCGGTGGGACTTCCTGTCACATCATCATGCCGTCATCGACTGCGCACGCGCTTAAGTTCAATTTTCGCACCTGTCTGACGAACCTTTGCACAAAACTCTTGAAAGATCCCCAAAACTCGTCGTGCGTGAAAACACTGAAATTCCGCCAGCCTCTCTTGCCGTTGTCCCTGTTTGCTACAACGACCATAAAGATGCTACAGTAATGTTTACACTTTCCGAGATTTTCATGAGCCGCAGAGCAGTTTCCTTGCCTTTCGCTACACTTTAAGTCACTGCTGGCCGAAGCAATATTTTCGTCCACAACCCCCTTTCTGCACCGCTTAGGCTACTTGCCGGCGAATGTCTGGGTCAAGTGGAGTACCTCGATTCCTCTTTATTCCTTAACATGCCAGACGAATCGTGCAGTAGCGCCTCGACAGAACTTTATGCCCTTTCCCCACTTGAATGCTCATCGAGTGGCACCTTCTCGAGCTCCATCGCCGAAACCTTAAGTGCCCATGAATGCGCCGAGCTTCTTAATCTCCTCCAGCACTTCGCGAATTCATTCGACGTTTCTCAGCCACAATTGGGTCGGACTTCCGCAGTGCACCACTACATTGACACCGGTTCGCACCACCCATTGCATCAAAGACCGTACCGTGTCTCTGCTGCAGAACGTCACGTCATCAACGACCAGGTCGAAGAGATGCTACGCCGTCACTTTATTAAACCATCGCACAATCCTTGGGCATCTCCTGTCGTTCTAGTTCGAAAGAAGGATGGATCGATTCGATTTTGCGTCGACTACCGGCGATTAAACAAGGTGACGGGGAAAGACGTCTATCCATTACTGCGCATCGACGACGCCCTTGACAGCCTCCAAGGAGCCGAATTCTTCTCCTCCTTAGACTTACGATTTTTATACTGGCTGGTTCCTATAGGCAGAAGCTGATCGCCAGAAAACTGCGTTCATTACACCAGATGGCCTGTACAAGTTTATAGTAATGCCTTTTGGGCTTTGTCATGTTCTTGCCACGTTTGAACGACTCATAGACAACACACTGCGTAGACTGAAGTGGTCTGTGTGTCTATGCTACCTCGAGGACATGGTCGTACTCTCTACCGATTTTTCTACACATCTGCTTCGGCTCCAAGTGCTTCTGACGTGTTTAACCAACGCTGGGCTCCACAACTGAACCTTAAAAAGTGACGCTTCGCCGCGCGAAAGCTGTCAATCTTAGGACAGGTCGTGTCCAAGCATGGTGTTCTACCGGACCCTGCAACACTGCGAGGAAGAGTTAGATTCCAGAAACCTACTACACTGAAAGAATTACACAGTTTCGTCGGATTATGCTCGTACTTACGGCACTTCGTTCGAAATTTTGCGTCGATCATGTCACCACTGGCCAACTTCTTACGTGGTGACGCAAACCTTTCATCCTGGTCTCCTGACTGCGACGTCGCGTTTGCCACGGTCCGTAGTCTGCTAACATCTCCTCCAATTTTTTGGCATTTCGATCAAACAACTGCAACGGACGTTCACACAGACACTAGCGGGGTTAGTCTTGGCGCTGTCCTCGCCCAAGGCAAGCCGGGCTACTCCAAATACGTCGTCGCTTACGCGAGTCGCACGCTCACTAAAGCTGAGGCCAATTACAGCGTCACTGAAAAGGAGTACTTAGCTCTAGTGTGAGCGCTTTGCAAGATCCTCCCTTATTTGTACGCTCGCCCATTCGACCTGGTAACGGACCACCATGCACTTTGTTGGCTCGCCACATTGAAAGATCCTTCTGGCCGCCTAGCTCAGTGGGCACTGCAAATCCAGGAGTACGACATTCGCGTCATCTATCGTAGCGGACGCAAACATTCTGACACCGACGACCTGTCCCGTTCCCCTTTACCTCCCGACCCGGTCCGCAGCACCACTGATACCAACTCCGTCGCATCTCTCAACCTCGACTCCTTTGCCAGTGAACAACACAAGGACTCGTGGATCGCTTCCCTTTTTGACTGTCTCTCTGGATCGTCAACCACTGCGGTATCACGATCTCTCCGACGTCTAGCTGCTCATTTCGCCATTCGTGATTAGCTGCTACACTGGCGCAACTACGCCCCTGAAGGTTGTAAGTGGCTCTTGGTTGTCCCGCGCAGCTCGCGATCACAAATCTGCGCCTCCTTTCACGACGATCCCCAATGTGGTCATGCCGGAGTTTTCAAAACTTACAAACGCACTGGCGCGGAATGTATGATTTTGTTCGAAAATTCGTTATGGGCTGCCCTGACTGTCAACGCCGCAAATCATTGCCTTTCCACTCGTCCAATGCGCTTCAACCGCTTCCGTGCCCTGCCAAACCTTTCGATCGGATCGGAATTGATCTTTATGGCCCTCTACCGACAACATCAGATGAAAATCGGTGGATCATAGTCGCTGTGGACCATTTAACACGCTACGCTGAGACCACCACCCTTCCAAGTGCCACTGTGCGGGATGTAGCATCCTTCGTCCTTCATCGCTTCATACTACAACATGGTGCACCTCAAGAGCTACTAAGTGACCGAGGTCGAGCCTTCCTATCAGAAGTCCTCACGTCTCTGCTTTCTGAATGCCATGTTGTTCGTCGCAAGACCTTGGCATACCACCCGCAGTCTCGGAGAGATTTAACCGCACCCTTGGCGATATGCTCGCGATGTATGTGACATCCGATCATACTAACTGGGATCGCATTCTTCCATTCATCACGTTCGCATACAACACCACGGCACAGTCTACCAATGGATTTTCACCTTTCTTCTTTATGGACGCGAACCATCCCACACCATAGACACTCTCCTTCCATAACGTCCTGACGCATCCGAATGCCCATCTGTGTCCGAAGCTGTCCGAAATGCGGAAGAGTGGCGTGAACTCGCACGCACCTTTACGTCACAAGAACAGCAGCCCCAGAAAGAAAACAACGCCGACTCTTCAGAAAGCCACAGCTATTCCCCGGGATCACTCGTATGGCTGGCTGTTCCTTACTAAACCCCCGGCCTTTCCTCAAAACTCGTTCCAAAGTACGAGGGCCCATACCGCGTTTTGGAGCAAACCTCGCCGGTGAATTTTCTCATTGAGCCACTTTCCCCATCTGACGACATGCGCCAGCATGGACGTGACATCGTCCACGTCGCCCGCCTTAAGCCATATCATAGCCCTCTGCCTCCACACTCTAAGGTCGCCAGAATGGCTCTTGTTCGGCAGGGGGAAAATTTTGAATAAGTAAACACATCGTTGGCAAGCAACATCGGCACCGCTTGGGTACTGGGCTTTTCTCGCTCGGCTCTTGCTGATCATCGCCGGCATCTACTTAACCGTTGCTCCGTCCCGATTGTGTTTTCATCATACGGCCACCGTCGCAAAAGTCGCCAATAAACCCCTTTTCAGGTCATCCTGACATAAAAAAAAATTACATGAAGACAAGTGTTGTTTAAACATTGCCTTCAGTGACAACATACTCTGAACAATTTCACAACATGACAGAGTTGTTTCGGGTAAACAATAAGAACTGGCAAGTGGCTAGCTTGTTGCAGCTTCCAGTTCCCGAAAGTTTGTTGAAGCTTTCATTTACACGAGCTTTGAAGTCTTGCATGTGAAGTGGAATAAATATTAACATGACTCCCCTTTACAGTACTCCCCAACCGTCTACAAGGTGATTTTCGATAATGCGACAATTTGTGCTAGGTAAGACAATGTAGAAAATGTTTAAATTGCATAAGCTGACGGACACATCGGTTACCTTTCTAAGCGCACTACAGTACTCTGTGTGCTCAATGATGCCAACTGTTTGAACTGTGAACGTCGGTGAACTGTGCAGTTCGCTAAAGCGAATGGAGAGCAACCCACAGTCAACAGTGACAACGTTCACTCGGCAAAGCACAGAACACTGCAACTTTCAATGTGGGGATAACACAATTTTAGGCAGCTAAACAGTGTGACACCACGGACGTTGACAGCGCAGATATAGCAACACAAGGTAGGCCACACTGCGTTCTAAGGTAACAATCAGAGTTCTAGAACATGAGTTTGTAGCATTTGCATTGGTTGAGTACATAGACCACAGGGGAGTAGCCAGAAAGGGATTCACCCCCCCCCCCCATATTTCTGAAATGTGTATGTTTTTCATGTGTACATATACCAGCAAATAAAATTAATTAAACCCTCTTCCACAAAAATATTTCTGGCTACGTTACTGGTACACAATTTTCAAAACTTAATTTGCATATCGAAGGGGTTCACACATCAAACAAGAGCAGTGGCGACAAACGCTAATGCAAACTTTGAGGTGCCCCACTCTAAATCTGTCCAGTAAGAGCCAATTAATGACGATGTCCATTGGCATAGCCTTGATGTGGTGCAGTTGTAAATGGTCACTCAGTCTATGGCACTTCAGAAATTTGGCTCCATCTATTTCATACATATTCTGAATATTTATTAAAAACGTATCTGTCGCACACGCGCAACGGCGTACGCGTTCGAACACCGCTAGCGCTTACCGATTAAAAACTCTAGCGTGCGTTTTCGAAGCGCTCCAACCGAATCGAATTTCGCTCGCCATCTTTTTTTTTATCAATGACTTGTCTTGCCTTATACTTGAAGCAATTATCGCTTGACAGCCGTCTTAGTCTGCGATGCAGAAAATTCCATGATTGCGGAAGCACAGCGCCACCGCTTGAATGGATTGCAGCGTTAAAAACTGTTCTTCCCTTCAAGCTACTACTTCCAGCACTATCACAAACTAAGACGACGACACCGATAGCAGAGACTTTTTTTTTTTATCTGTTCGGTTGGCACGATCAGATTACAGATTCCTTTCCAGTTCCATCTTCGCGGAGCCTGGTACGCGTTTACGGCCAATTCCGAAAGCCGTACGCACCGCACTAATCCTTAATTACGCTCGTTTTTCTCTACGCTCACACCTCTAGCGCAAACGATAAACGCGACTCAGCCGCAACTACCACCTCCACGCGCAGCAAAGATGTCGGGTAGAAAGTGCGATCGCTTTTTCGTTGCGGATTCCTCGAAGGTTTTGAAACTACAGAGAATGAAAGCTATAAGGTGCCATCTCCAGCGGTATGTAGGAACGTTTCCTTCGGAACGAGAAGCGCAGCAGGCGATGCAAATGAAGCGAAATGGAACGATCGCGCGGGCATCCCTACGAAGACTGCGCGAGATGGAACGCAGTACTGTAAATGCGCGTCACCGCAGATTTCTTGCTGCTAAAAGGCAGAAAAACGAACTTACCGGAACCTTTCTGATCCTCATGACTGCACAGTAACGTGTAGTAAATTCGCGAGTGTGAGCACTGCAACGCCTTCCCGAATGCCGGTAGTTCGAAGATAAATCCAAGTAACGGCGATCCCTAAGAGCAATGGCACCGACCGGCCAGTCCTGGCGAAAGACGAAGGTGAGAAGGAACAGAAAAAAAAGCCCAGTGGGGAAAGACAGGCGCCTCGTAGTCATGACAACGCTGCACGCGCCTCATATGAGAAGCGAAAGATGGCGCTAGGATCGCATCAAACAGCCGCCGCTCCACGAATCGCCCGCCATTGTGGACGTTGTCTGAAAGACATCGGATTCGAGTCGAAATATTTCGCCGATCATACGGTGCAGTATGTTGCCGACGAAGTGCGATCACGCCCGCCCTCAAACCCGCAGACTATGCCGCAGCAAACGCCGGGATTCAACACGTGCCCCCGGCGGCGTGACCACGACGTCTCCTCTGGGACGTTCGAGAAAGACGGTCGTTGGCACGCAGTGCTAGCCTCGCCACAAAACGCCGCCGGCTGGCGACGATCAAAGATCGGCACAAGTTGGCCGCGTCGCTCACCTTGGTCTCTTGCTCAGTGCGATCTTCCATCTCGCTGTCTGGGTTGTTTTCCGACATGTTTTCGCGAACGTGTGCGTACACTGCGTCCACGGCGCTTACACCCGCACGAACCACTCACGGCGAGTTTGAAGGACAGCGTGGGTCACGTGACGGGGCAGGTCGCGACACCAGTGGTGCGCGGGGGAAGCAGGTATAAAAGCGCGCTTTTCGAATATGCCCTTCGGGGACGTTTTCTGCATTGGCAACTCGCAGGCACTCGCTGCGAACAATGGATGAACCGGCTTTCGCTGTCTACGGTACGGAGGCACGGCGCACCTGCCTTGGATGTTAACGCTGGAAGCAACCAAATGTGGCAGTGCGACCAAACAGGCCGAGGTTCGGCAGCTGTGCGCTAGGACCCGCGTGTAACCTCCCTCTCCGCCGCTCTCATGTCCACAAGTGCGATCCCGAAGCAAAAATGAAAGGATGTCGCTTTGTCGAAGCCGGTACAGGCAGACGAGTGAGCGATGGGAAAACCAGTCGTGCGATTTCCAGCTGCGTAAGCAACTGTATTGAAGAGTGGGGGCGATTCAGATAGGTATATAACATAAGGCTTAAATGAGAACTAATGGTCCGCAAACAAGCATAGTGACTTCTTGTATTTAGAGACGGTTGCAGTATCGCATCAAGAAAGTAAAAGTTCAGTCTAGGCCGAACATGAATGAGACTTTCATGAACACGCATGTCTATACCCATCGATTTGTCCAACTGTTCTGGCAACATCTAGCTATGTTATACTTGTTCGGAATATATTATAAACGCGCATTCTAGGTCCACTAGCAAGTTTGACAGCCAACTAGTTCAAGTGGGGGATTTGCATAAACCAGCCCCACGGAGGGCACAAGTCCCGAGGTGTTACGCAAAGTCAAGTCCGTGAGTGTCTGACCCCGCTTGTGTTCAGGCTAGGGGGTCAGAATACGCCAGCCTTTTGCAAGTACAAGTGTCTGCCGCACTCTTTATAGGTTTATCTTTGAACAACAGTGCCCACTCCATAGAGCCTACCCTTAAATCGGAAGGTCTTCTAGAAACGAAGTAATATAAACATGAAAGCTACTGTTGGTGCTTTTTGAAACACTGCAGGTCCACGTGTCGCGAGTGCGTTTTTATGCAGGCCTTTAATATGCAATGTAAATAAAAAGCCCCATGCCTGCGCGGAACGCGCAGCACATTCACAGTGAAGAACGCTATAAGAGCGGCCTTTCAGAGCCTTTTCTAACCACTCTTTGGGTAACTGCTACAAGCGTATTATGCTGGGTACCCACTACACCATAAATAATAATTTTTGTGTGGTAGGCCAGCATTCACTATGCTTACCTTCTTCATTCTTCGGAGAATGGTGGCATCCGCTACACACAGGCTAGGAATTTTCTGCAGCTTTTTTTTTTATGTGCAGTATAGATAACGACGATGAATAATTATGTCTGAAGTGGACTGGTATGCGCTACAGTTATTAGGTGATCAGGAACAAGATTTGTAATGGAATGGACCCACTCGCTACGCAATTCGCATTGTGTGACGCCTGGTTGTTCCTTTGGGGTTCTAAAACGCTTTATTACTCACATTAACGCGATTGCTTTCCCGACACCATGCTTGCCTAAAGCCAGTTTTTTATAAAAACGCGTTCTTAGCACGGGCGTGGTTCTTCTGGGATATTCTGCAGAAAACGCTCAAAAATTATTTACCGATTGATGCCTACGGTATCAGGTTTTTACCAGTGAACGAAGAAGACAATGGAGCACCCTATGATATTGTTATGTTGCTCGGCCTTCACAGTATTTGGGAAAAGTACATGGCAGTCTGTCATGCGAACATCAATACACTGCTCATTCGTGAATATTTCCGCCAAATGATCACGACGTTTATAGAAGACTGTAAAACTAACGACCCAAATCCAGAGTGGCTCGAACAGCTTGAGCCACTTATCCGCACAAAGGAATTCCAGTCATTATGTAACCATTCCGTTCGTTAACTCTGTATGTAATGTTTAGGCAATGTATTATTATTGTATTTTGTGCAAAAGTAAATAGTGAACAGAAAAAACTGGCGTGGTTTAGTGGTAGGATACTAGAATTACACGCAGCGGATCGGGGTTCGAATCCAGTTGCCGTCTTTAATATTATCTATTTACTGAGTTGTTTCTTTTTATATCTTGCGATACTGGTTACGGACACCGGCGGCGGCGAACAACTATACGGAGCCGCGCATTACCCATGTTTTGACCTCTCTACAGCTTTCGCTTTAAAACGGGAAACAAAGAAAAAAATAAAAACGATGTAAATGTTTTATCGTGTGGAAATCTATATATGTAAAAGTAGTGGGTAAGGTAAAGTGTAGTTATCAGAGGTCAGAGAATTTCTGGCAGCGTTTCTCAAGTTTGCTTTCAAAGAAAGAAAATTATAGAGCTCTTCTTTCAATCTTTCTGGCGCGCTGACGTCCACAAGCTGACGCACATTTTCTACCTCAGTGTCATGTACTTTCTATCAAGATGGAATACCAACATGCCCAAGCTCACGTTCTTTAAGAAAAAAAATCGTTCTCTAGAGTGAAGCAAGCAGCTCGTCAGCTGTGAACTATATAGTAGTGTTGCCCGACTGTCACGTCGCTCGCGTGTGAATAAAAATATTAATTATCAATTGATTGCTTCACGAAATGCGCAAAAATTTCGCCAGCTTTTTTTTTCTTATGTGATGACGCGCATGAGGCAGACAACGCATTACGATCATCGTGCCCCGTTCGCTAGACACAGCGAATGAAAGCACCTGTGCAGAAAAGAGACGTGAGAATCGTCTGGGGAAGGCAGAGGGTGTTGGAGTCGGCACACCTTTTCTTCTGTGCGTATCCAACCCGTTGCGTTGTCAATTATTCTACCGTGTGCTAGTATATTGATTCCCGCCACGGTGGTCTAGTGGCTAAGGTATACTCGGCTGCTGACCCGCAGGTCGCGGGATCGGATCCCGGTGGCTGCGGCTGCATTTCCGATGGAGACAGAAATGTTGCAGGCCCGTGTGCTCAGATTTGGGTGCACGTTAAAAAACCCCATGTGGTCGAAATTTCCGGAGCCCTCCACTACGGCGTCTCTCATAATCATATCGTGGTTTTCGGACGTTAGACCCCACATATCAATCAAAAAGGTCCGCTTTTCAACTGTTACAAAACATAGAAGCCCTTCAGTTTCGTGTCATAAAAGTGTCGTGTTATGTTTCCCACTGTCACGCAGAAAGAACTATATCGGGCAAACCAGCCTGTAGCTAAATGACAGACTCCGTGAGCATTTTAACAGTTCTTAAAACACAGCAACCAGTAATCTCAACATTGCAGGAGTTGTTCGTGCACTTTCACTTGATGATTGAATTCATATGGTGGTTTGATATGATGTTAAGCCCCACATATCAATCATTAGTATATTGATTTTAAAATATGTCCAGTCGGGTCAATCTTAATCGACTATGTAGAGTCGAATTCAGATAGCATGAATGCCAAAGGAATTCAATGTTTTAGGAGCGAAGCTCCTTAGGCAGTGGGTCGTTCCCTTCTCCGTATGTAGTATGTAGCCGCCTCTAGTTTATGGCTTGCTCGATAGATGGCGCAGTGTGCATATGTTTTGGGAAATAGTATAATTATATTTTGTTGGTGGTTTTCACAGCATATCCACTTAGTGGATGATGATGATGAGTGGGGTGAAGCATCCGTTCATCTGTGTGTCCAAACGTCAGTCTGTCTGTCCGTGTTTCCGTTCATCCATGCGTCTATCTGTCCGGCTTTCGTCCGTTCGTTTTTGCTCCCGTCTGATCGTCCGTTCGTCTGTCCATGCGTCTGTCAGTCCGTCCGCATGAACGGATATTAAGGTACTCGGCTGCTGACCCGCAGGTCGTGGGATCAAATCCCGGCTGTGGCGGCTGCATTTTTGATGCAGGCGTAAATGCTGTAGGCACGTGTGCTCAGATTTGGGTGCACGTGTGCTCAGATTTGGGTGCACGTTAAAGAACCCCAGGTCGTCAGAATTTTCGGTGCCCTCCACTACGGCGTCTCTCATATTCATATATATGATGGCTTTGGGATGTTAAACCCCACATATCAATCAATCAAAAGAACTAAATTTCCAGAGCCCTTTACTGCGGCTTCGTTCATGATGATATCGCTGTTTTGGGACGTTACACCCCGACAATTATCGTTATTAAATTCGGTACGGCGCACGTAGCAGCTTATCCAAAGGAATATAATCATTGAGATCTCAAGGAACAATAATGGAGCAGTGTTTGAGCAGTGTGGGACGTTTAAGGCGAAATTAAGAAGTGATAGGCATTGGCATGCAGCTAGGACGCAAGATCAAAGCTAGCCACAGCCATTGACTGGATTACAAGATAAGGCGAGCGCGCCAGGGCATGGGGGCTGGCAGGTGTGTGCAAACGGTGCACTGGCACCCCCCCCCCCCCCACACACACACACACAAGAAGCCAAAAGTCACACTAACGCTTGCCTTTCTACTAAAGCCGCAGCACCGCTCCCCCACCTTTCTCATCGTGATAAAACACGGGTC